TTGTATAATTTACTATAATTGTTATAAATGTTTTATTTTATACTCTTTTTTTTAATTTATATAATTTTATTTTATTTTATTTTATTTTATTTTATTTTATTTTATTTTATTTTATTTTATTTTATTTTATTTTATTTTATTTTATTTTATTTTATTTTATTTTTATTTTCAATATTTCCATAGACGAACAAATTTATTATACCGTGTACACATATTGGAACAGGGGATTTTACAAACTTCTATAAATATTTGTTTATCCATAAGGGTTGTAAGCAATCACAGCTTGCCGATCTCAATCGAGACTAGGGTAAGGGGGATGATCGTGATATGCTTGCTCCTACCACTGCGTTGCAATATTGCAAGCTGCAGTCGGAAGTACATTCATATGTATGCTTGCATGTTGTCGGGCTGCGAAAGGTGGTGACATGTCCTGTGCCGGTTCCTGCATCAGTATCGGCAGCAGCCGCGCTAAAACCAGCGCCAGGTAGTTTCGCAAATACCTTTCGTTATGAGGCAGCCAGGTAAAATGCGTAGGGTTTCGTTGAATGGTGAAATCAAAGCTATTCAACCGGGTGTTTGTGTGTGAAAATTTTTCAATTTAATGACGTGCGCTACTATGCCGCACTTTATTGTGCCAGATGGCTGGTTTAATTAAAAAAAAAATCAAAAGCAAAACATATTTACGTTATTTGAGGCGAGGTGGTACCTATTTTTAAATGTAAGGGTATGTGGCAAGCAGAAAATATTTCGATTTGATTTTCCGTTTTATTTTCTCTCGTGCATCATGTATTTGTGCACCTTGACATTGTCACAAATGTAGGTAATTTCTTGAATTTATTATTTATATCTTTTATTATTTTTGTTGCTTAGATTTCTTCTTAACGATTTGTTTGTTGGCAATGTAATAAAATACTTTGCTTGCATTTTTTTTTGTTGTGAAGTGTAAGTGTAAATTGGCGAATTGTCTCGTGCTAAAATCAATATTTTGCAGCTGCAACTTCCTTGTGTGTGGGACACAACGCAAAAAGGATGCTCTTTTGTATTCACACTCCAATAAATGATTGATAATTCGATTATGGGTTACTTGATAGTTGATTGCTGTTTGTAGAGACATACATAATGCTTTCTTAAAAGAAAATCATATTTCACACGCTGAAAGGCAATTCAAGTAGGCCAAAACCGATTGAATTTAGCTAAAATTTATTTCAACTTCGTGAACTGAAATTTGAACAGGTACACATATATTTTGTACCAAGTAGAATTATTCTGCTAAATGATAACAATTTTTAATTAAAAATCTTTGAATTTTTCAATAATTTGAACATTAATTATTGGTAAGCGGAACAACCGGGTATTTGTTGCTGTAGCTTTATTATGATGCAACGTACAAATAATAAAAGCAAAAAAAAAAAAACAATTAAATAGAATTAAATAGAAACTTTAAACTTTCAAAATTGAAAGTTCTAGTACAAAAGCCCGAAAACCCACATATATTGTATCTGTTCGTTAAGTAACCGAATTAGTAAGTAAATCGGGTCGATTTCTGGTGTCTATCATTTTTCGCTATCTGCGGAGTCCATAGATATTTAAGTCGAGTTCTAGATGTGCCCGGGGGGATGTTCCATCATCTCACTCATGTGTCATCGTCACTTATGCCTTTTCGCCTCGCATGCCATTAAGTTGTGATCTGCTTTTAGGCCAACAACTATTCTACCAAGATTTCGGGTGCGAAAAGTTGGCGTATCTTACTTTGCTGCATATGATCTAAACGATCCAGCATTCCATCTCAAACTATTCCGTCTGTAAGCCCTTTCGGAAACTTCATTGTGTATCGTTTTTAGTAACCTATATATTTCCTGTACTGGTTTGACAGCCAGACGGATGACACTTCTAACAACCTTCCGAACTATTTCCTTTTCTGCAATGCTCTTATGCAGTCCCTTTCCCACCACCACTACATCTACTGCTTACTTGCTTCTAAGGACAATTCTTGGTTCCACATACATGATCTTGCACCCCTTTTTAATGTAATAAACCCTGTGGGTATGTGGTCTATTTTGTCCATACTGTAGCGCAGCCAATCTCACAGCTGTTCCATAGGAGACCTATCTAATCCAGCCAAGGGATCGGCTCTTTTCACTCGTGGTATGCAAGTGTAGATGTATGCCGAAGCATCGTACCGCTGTGTAAGAGCGATGCCTGAAACCGAAGCCTGGACCCCTACAGGTCCCAAACTTATCCTTCTTTGTAACATCATCCAACATGCTCAAAGTGCAAAATCCTTTTCTACAAAAATTTCAGCGAACTAACTCTTAATAGTAATAGATTTGGATCGGGGAAGACGGTTCATCCGTCGGTAACAGCACCGGGCCTTCGTTTAAGAGAGCCACACTAATGGAGTTAAGAAGCATTCCGAAATGCTTGAATACATTTTCATAGCAACCAAACTTCCCGACAGGCTTCATTATCATAGACTCAATAGAACTTTATGGCATAAGTCATGAGTAAAATAGGAAAGAATGAATGGGCGGAATTTTGACGATGGAGGTTGGATATCTAGATTTTGTTCGAACGCTCGAGCATATAGGAAACGAAAAGTCGCACGCTCGTTTATTACTCACTGTTCGAAAAGTTTCGACCTACCTGAGTAATTCGAGCTTTTGAGTACAAATCATAAATTTTCCTCAGATTTTCTTTCTTTAATTTTATATTTTTTTTTATTTATTTTATCCATCGGCAACAGTATGGGAATGATCAAAGTTTTTTGGCGACATCGAGGGAAACTCTAAGGTAGACGAACTTGTTAGGTTGTTTCTTATGACGCGCGGAAACTGTTTCACAAGGAATTTATCGATAAACAAGCCAAGATTCTAACGATGCTCGCGACGTAGTGCCTCAAATCTACTTAAATAGAGCCGAATGGAATGACCAGGCGAAATTTATTTTCTTTATAGGAAAGGACATCTTCAAGGAAATAATAGATCTGATGAAAATTGATTTACATGCAGGAAGAATGGGAGTTCCATAAAGAAGCTTCAAAAGTTTGTTAATTACGCAGATGAGAATGGAATTGCCTTTTTTGGACTACGTTGGGTTTCGAAATTTCGGAATCATCTTTCTTCATGGTCTCTGCACGATAGCTGACGACAGGGTAATTCATCTGAAGAGTTTCATTAAATAAACGAAATGGTTGGACAATGAATGCAGAAAAAAGTACGGCATCACAACTGATCTAATCGATGTCCGTCCCCATCAGCTGCCACTTTAAAAAAATGGAGGATTTAATATTTAATATATCGGAATACAAATTTTAAAGAATTCCCAACTCAATAAGAAGGAAACATATAATTTTCAACGGTTGACTAAAACTTTTTTATATGTATAATATGTCCAGCTCTTCGTTCGGATGCTACCGTTTTATACTCTTGAAATCATATTCAATGCTCAAGTATTTCAATGGTATTTAAGCCTGCGCAGTAAGCGCATTAAAGTTCTCTTTCACCCAATAATAAATAGACAAACTTTCCAGTGAGCCAACCACAACTACTCTTAATTAACTGTAATTTTCCAATAGAGAGTTGCGTCAAAATGAAAACGAAACGTTGCGCAAGAGCACCAATAGACAATTAAGTGCCAAAAATGAGCCTCAAGAGATAGCGCCAAAGCTAAAAAATATTCCTCATACTTCTAAGTAAACTCTTGCTCTGTACAGCTTAAACAAGCTGAGAGCGCTTACAGCAAACGCTCACCTGTCCGCTCAGAGTAGTAGCTCAAGCCAGGTGTTCAACGCCACTTAAGCGCCTAAGAAGCGCACACAACCAAGCTTTGAAAGTATATAAGCAACAAAGAGCGCCAACTCCACCCATAGCGATGAGTGTGAGCATAAGAGAAGCGCGCAAGTGGGAGCGTGAGCTCCAAATCTTAGGTGCTCACTAAAAATAAATATGCGCCAATATATAATAGTAAATAAGCGTAAGTTCGATTTCACATTGCTTCACAGCTGCTCTCCACGATCAATGTCTTTGCTTGGCATTACTCTGCTCTTCTACACTCTTTGCTGCTCTGTTTAGCGTTCAGTGATCGCGGTGCGTGACAATCACAGCAAACTCAATTGACAAAAGCACCAGCCGACACACATGCGACCAGCGGTGGCGTTATTGCCGCTGATGCTGACTGAAGTTGATCGTGTTGGTGGTGCACGAAGCATTTGCTGGGTGTTCGTTAAAAAATAAAATCTACAAAGCATAACGATCGGTTAGGTTGGCTTTATGTAGTTTGGCTCTGCGCTGCCACGATCGCTAGCTCGAGTCGACTTTGTATACGTGAAGTAGTCTGCACATGCATCTGTCTGTCTGTCTTGAAAATGTTGTTAGTATATATGTATGGACATATATTTATAATCAATGTGGCATGGCGTGGCGCATGTGGCACGTGCTGTAAATGCTAAAGCAGAAAAAAAAAAACACTCACGCATATCCACAACGCACATCTGTTCCACGCGCATTGATGGTGGATGCTGCATTCGAATGAAATTTTTTTCGTTGATGGTGGTTGAGACTGATGCTGATTCAGGCAGCGATCCTCATCGCTAATGATCATTAAGTCGCTGGGCTTGGCTATACGTGTACCACATATCACAATATAATTTTGTTTTGGATATTTTCGTTGATTTCGTAGACCTGGGTTAGTGGTTGATTTTGTGCTAACGCAAAAGATTCCTTTCTGCAATTGCCCGCTGCTGTGTGGGGATCAACGGACGATCGGAAGTATGTAAAATACAATAACAACACAACACATACAAATCCTTGCCGGCTTATAAATATCCTTTTTAGTACGTGCTATACGTTGCTCTTCGGAGGGGTGAATTCGCTGGTGGTAGTGGTGACGTTGGTTGAGTGGTGGCTGCTGCTGGCCGATCATACTGCACGAGGGGGTTGGTCGGTTAGTTGTTTGCCTGTTATTTTCTTGCTCCTGACATTGACTTTTGTCGGTATAAAACTTAAAGTGATCGTATTCTATTGCATCATTCGCTTATGGTTCTGCAGACGTGAAACGTGCGACGTGCCACTCCACCGGTTAGTTTGGCACAAAAAAATATTAAATAAATAAGGAAATAAAAATAAATGCAGTGATTTATTTTGTGTAAAAGAAATTGTGAAATTATAGCGATATTAAATATTTTATACCAGCAACTGTGTTGTGATGCTTGAGACTGTGATTTTGAAGTGGCTGGGAAAATTGTATTGAAAAATTAAAATATTTATGCTAAGCCGCTAACGTGTTTTGTGCGTCTGTTTTGGTGCCTTTGATGACAAATCGAATTAAAATGGATAAGGTCAACTACAGCAAATGTCCGCTCAAGAAGCGTCCGATCATGTTGGAGGTGGAGCACCAGGAGCGTACCTACAACGAGGATCACTTAGATCAAGGTGAGTTATTCGCAAATAAAATGGAAATTTAGTACTAATTTAATAACAATAGACGGAAGGGAATAAATTTTTTAGTTTTCAATACATTTTCTCTCAAGACGAGAACTTCAAGCGATCATCGATCGTGTATTTTTTTTTTATAATTTATTTACATATATACCCTTTTTTATCGAATATTAACCATTATTTTTAATGGTTTTAGGGAGAAAAAAAAAAACTAAATTAATTAAACAATATTGACCGTGTCAATTTATGTTAATATCATTTTAATATAAAATCTGAATTACCGAAAAAAATAAACATTTTTAAAAATGGTCAAAAATGATAAAAAATGTTGCTGTTGTAATTATTAAAAAATTTATAATTAATACATAACCTCAAATTTTACCTAAAATTAGTTAAAAATCGTAAAATAAAATTGCTGCTGTAAATACTAAAACAAATAATTAATACATAACCTCAAAAGTCGAATTTATTAAAAAAAAAGACGCTAATGTAGTTGAAAAAAAAATTAATACATAACCTCAATTTTTGCTTAAAATTAGTCGAAAATCATATAAAAAGTTGTCGTTGTAAATTTAAAAACTTTATAAGTAATGCATAACCTCAAATTTTGAATAAAATTAGTCGAAAATGATAAACAAAATTGCTGTTGTAAATATTAAGAACCTATAATTTAAGCATAATCTAAAATTTTAAATAAAATTAGTCGAAATTAAAATGAAAATTCGCTGACGTAGTTTAATTAAAAAAATTAATACATAACCTCAAATAGTCGAAAATCATATAAAAAGTTGTTGTAAATTTAAAAACCTTAAAAGTAATGCATAATCTCAAATTTTGAATAAAATTAGTCGAAATTATAACAATTGAGGGCTGAATTAAGATTTAAAATTAAATAAATACATAACCACAATTTTTGTTCCAAAGTTTTCACGAAATTAAATATAATATAAATAATATTTCTTGTGAATCTTGGAAGGAGATTAACCAATCAATGACCAGGATTAAAAAATCTAAACTTAAATTTTTTAAATTTAAACTTATTGCACTTACTGTTATTTTCAAGTTACGCTAATGTTTTTCCCTAAAACTTTAGTTATTTTCTGTTTTATTAAAAACTATTAATAGTAATGAGAAATCAATTTTTTTAATGCGATCTTACTGTTTTTTGGTTCGTTTTATTTTTTTTTATTAAAAAAAAACCTGATGTTTTTTCTTCCAGATGAAGGTCCCGTCGATCTCAGCCTCGCTGCTGGCGCAGCACTTTCATACAGATCAGCCCAACCGCCGGCATCTACGCTCACGTCCATTGCACCCGCCAGCTATAATCCCGCCTACCAGTGGCCCACAGATAAAGTGGAACATAATACACCATTGCCTACACCACCGCCCTCAGAAAACTCCACTACCGTCGCGGTGGCCTTGCCGCAAACCAAAGAAGAACTTGCGCGGCATATTTGGGTGGAGACGCGTGAGATTGCAAAAGCCTTCCCAGATGTTTTTACGCGTGAAGAGATCGCGCGCAGTTTAGCGCGTTTGGGTTATGGCGATTTTCCGCTGCCACCGGAAGAGGAGGTTTGCGGCAAAGAGGAGGCAGCGTTAAACGCCGAAAATCTACAGCCACAATACGAAGGCATAACACCACCGCCACCACCAGCTGCATCGCCGTTAAACAGCGCTTTTATGCCGCGTATGATAAAGCAAGAAATCGATGTTGATAGCTACGCGCCTGCAGATGAATATAGAAACTACAATAATAATTTAATGAAAAGTATTGCTGATTACGAGGACTGTATGCAGCCGCAAGCTTACAATACACATGTGGAACAGGCGCCGCAACAACTCCAACAGCAGCATGCGCAGCAACGTCTACCAACGGTCATACAACAGCCAACGCAGACTGAGAATTATTACAGTTATGAGCAGAGTGAGCGTTGCGACTTTGAGCCACAGGACTTGAGTGTACGCAATGAGCAGCCGGCGCGCCGCGTGCTCGGTGAGAATATCAATCTGCATAATGTTGCGCGCGCGCTGCTAAGTATGCAGCATATGGGCTCGCAACGCGGTAATCACAACAACAACAATCATATAATGCATGCGCCTAGTATGCCAACAGAACGCCGCACTGTAGACTCACCACCCACCAATACATTGAAGCTCAAAACCAACAACGATCTCTACTATCAATGTCAGCAGTGCAACAAATGCTACTCGACCTACGCGGGGCTGGTGAAGCACCAGCAAACACATACCTACGAAAGCACCGAGTATAAGATCATACGCAGCGTCGATAACGTCGAAGCGTCTGGCGCGCACACCGCAACAGACGATTTCCCCAGCGACAAAGCGGCCACGCTCATACACTCCTCGAGTGTGGCAACCGCGCAGTCCACGCAAAAGCCTGTCGGCGTACCGCGCTACCATTGCAAGGATTGCGGTAAATCATACTCCACCTATTCGGGTTTGAATAAACATCAACAATTTCATTGCCCTGCCGCCGAAGGTAACCAAGTGAAGAAAGTTTTCAACTGCAAGAATTGCGAAAAGACCTACGTCTCGCTGGGCGCGCTCAAAATGCACATACGTACGCATACGTTACCTTGCAAATGTCCAATCTGCGGTAAGGCTTTCTCTCGTCCGTGGTTATTGCAAGGCCACATACGTACACACACCGGCGAGAAACCGTTCAGCTGTCAACATTGCAATCGCGCCTTTGCCGATCGTTCAAATCTGCGCGCGCACATGCAAACCCATTCCGATGTGAAAAAGTATTCGTGTCCTTCCTGCACGAAGTCATTCTCACGCATCTCCCTGCTGGGCAAGCATTTGCAAGGCGGCTGTCAGCAATCGCCCAATTCCGCGTCGCCAACATCGTCGACGGAGAATTTGGCCTCATACACAATGAGCTCGAGATCGGTAGTGCGCAGCGGCGGCGACAGCAGTGAAGGTGTTGGCATTTTTAGTCAACAACAGCTGCAACAACACATGCAACGGCTGCAGCAGAACGAGGCTTACAATGATGAAAATATGCCAGCAGATCCACAGCTGCAGCAACAAAAACAACGGCCCGCGAACTATTTCTACGCCGAGAGCTTGGTTAGCAGCGGTGGCGATGAAGAAGAGTTGGAGGAAATGCATTTCACTGCGACTTCACCACCACCGCCTGCAGTTGCTCAGTCGGCGCAAGCGCAGCAGCCAATGGCGGCGCATACGGGAGAATATTGAGTGGTATGTAAGAGTGTAAGTAACACGAGGTGAAACACTGCGGAAAGGATACTCATAGGTTAGTTATTAGTTAGTAAATTATTTTTAAATAGACTTCAAGCAAGTTAGGAACTCAGGAATTCGCTCATAAGTTTAGGTACATATGTATGTAAGTGAGGTATGCCAAATATATGTATATTGAAACAGTGCCAAAAATTAGTTAGGTTTAGACGGCGTCGTATTAGTTAGTAAGTAGTCTAGATTAAGAGCTATGAAAAGATTTATTTAATTGTTTCTTATTTATAACTTATTTTAAATTTTTTAACTAATAATTCCCTTATTTAGTTTATTTTTCATGTTCAAAGTACTTGCTGAAAAAAATTTAAAAAATACTATCTCCAATAGTTGACGAAAATCAATTGGAATATTTTTTAGCATAAAGAAATAAAAAAAAAATTAATACAAAAAATAAAAAAATATAATAAAATTTATAATTTAATATTAGCCGGATTAAAATAATTGAACCAAAAAAAAAAAAATTGACAATACAATATCCAAAAATATGTTTTAATAACTTAAAAGACAAGTTTTTGCCCAAAATAAATGGTTACCTAAATTCATTAATGATTTCAAAAAAAAAAACAAACAATTCTGATTTCAATAAATTAAGTATTATTAATCAAATTTAATATTACTAAACCTATTGAAAACTCAATAGAAAAAATATTTATATTTTTAGGCTTAACTTTCAAAAAGTCACTAATAAAACATAAGTCCAAAGTTAAAAAAAAAAAAAACTATTGTACAAAAATTTGCCAAAAATAATTATATAGTGTGTTGAATCCCTAATATTTTACGGTTCAAAAATAAAAAAATAAAAGAAATATTAATTAAAAAAATTTCAAAAGTAACAAAAAATATTTATAAATTAAATTCAATATTCTAATGGCAAGCAAAGCCCGCTTCAATCATAAAAAAAATTACATATGTATTTATATAAACATATGACTATATACGCTGAAAGTAGGAGAGAAAATTTAAAAAATTACTGAACTAAGGTTTTTTTTCTTTAATCAACGAAAACCCATGCAGCAACGCTATACCAAAAATAATGATTTATTTACAAAAAAAAGAGTTAATAAATTCAAGAATAGTAATGGAATACAAAAATATTAAAAATAAAAATAATAATTATAATAATAATATAATTATAATTAATTAAAATAATAATAATAATAATAATAATAATAATAATAATAATAATAATAATAATACTAATAATAATAATAATAATAGTAATATTAATAACAATAACAATAACAATATTAATTACAACAACAATAATAATATTAATAAAAATAATAATATAATGATAATATTAATAATAATAATAATAATTATAATAATAATAATAATAATAATAATAATAATAATAATTGTAATAATAACAAAAATAATATTAAGAAAAATAGTGCTAATCAAATAATAATAAATGTAATAATAATTAGTTAATGATAACATAAATATATATAATATTAAATTGAAATTGATTTAAAAACTTATGAATAAAATTTAAGATGCAAAAGCTACTTCACGGATATAGTTTTAACTATTTCTTCTAATCAGTAATTTATTTCGTAATTTTATTTATTTATTTTATTTATAAGTAAAAATTAATATACTAAGAAACTAATAATTTTATTGTAATAACTTTTACTTAAATTATTTTATTTAAATTAAATTATTTATTTATATATATATTTATTTAATGAATTATTTATTTATTTTATTATAAGGCAACTAAATAAGCGCGCTTCAAAAACGAGTATAAAATCAGTCAGTTGTCTAGTCAGTCAGTTACACAGACCGAATTTTCGATTTAAGTTTTGTCTATTCAATTTATAATTATTTATTTATTTTCAACAAATAATAAGTTATTTATTCTAGATACTAATTCATCAAATAGTGAATTCATAGGGTGTCATATAAAACAAAAACAAAAAAAAAAAAATAAAACTTGCAGGTAGTAAGACAACGAAAGCTATATACTTAAGATATGAAGTAAATTTTTTATAAATTTTATTTAAATAAAAACAAATCGAATTATATATTAATTTATTGAAAATGCAACCAAATCGATATGTTATTTTTTAATCCTATTTAAAAAATAAAATTTTTAAGAGACCTACATTTAAAACTTACTAGGCGCACAAGAACAGTGACATATTTCTTACAAATTTAAACTCTTCTCTTAACCCATAAGGGAAAACAAACGATTGTCCATTAACTCATTTCAAAATACTCGTAAATTAACGCTGCTAAAGAAAATATTTATTGTTATTTTGTTACTGTTAAACTATCTTGTTGTTACTTAAAATATATGTATATATATGTTCATATATGTATGAATTTACAATCAGCTACACTCACTGTCCAACATTACATATAATTAGTATTAAAAATATACATAAATTTTAAAAGTAATTATTTATTCATATAATGTTATTAATAAAAAATAGTAAATATTATATGTGCCAACGCCTTTAAGCTACGAAAAATATCTAAATTAAATGCTGTAAATCTCGCCTTAGCTGCTTACAATAAGAAAATATATAATATTAATGTCATAACATTAAAATCTTTGTAAAAATAAAGCATGCATCAATAAAAAAATTATACCAAAAAAAATTACCGGTTAATTTTTATTTTAGCTTTTACTTTAGGCAGGAGAAAAAAATAAAATAAAATAAAATAAAATAAAATAAAATAAAATAAAATAAAATAAAATAAAATAAAATAAAATAAAATAAAATAAAATAAAATAAAATAAAATAAAATAAAATAAAATAAAATAAAATAAAATAAAATAAAATAAAATAAAATTAATAAAATAAAATTAATTAAAATTAAATAATATGAAGCAAACTAAAATAAAATAAAATGATAGACAAAAATAAACTAAAAATATAAAATAAAATAAAGTGAATTAAACAGCTTTAGTAAATTAAATTAGATCAAAATAAAGTTTAACAAAAGTAAAATATATAATTGCAATTTCCGACTTGTGAACTTTGTTCTATACAAATCACATGATTTGTTTGGTTTAATTTTTTTCTTATTAACCCCTTTGCTTGTGTTTTTTCTCTGCTTCTTATGTCTCTGTGGCTAAGCACAGTCTAGGAAATCGATGATTCATCGCGCCTTGAGCGCGTTTTTAGCCGGCTGCCGAGCAGCTTATATGTAACTTGCGCCACTGCAGCTTACAACTTGCCACATGCGCATGTGCGCTAAAAAAAAACACTCACATATATCGGCAAATATGCCGCGCTTGCCTGCCAACTCCCCGCCAGTGCCGCCTAAAATCGCCTTATCTCGCAAATTCACGCTGACGCCGCTGCTTGTTTATTACTTACTTCTCAGGTAAAACAACAACTACAACAACTATCGGTGGTATAGTTGTTTATTAATATACCTGCATGCGTTGTAACTGTTGTTGTTGTTGTTATTGTTGCTGCTACAACCACTATCGGCGTTTAAATATTATATTATTTTTGACTGTCTGCTGCATGTACATAGCGTTGCAAATCTTGCAGCTGCACTGCCAAAACAATGTCGCACACAACAGCAGCCAGCAACCAGCAGCCAGCAGCCGTCGCTGTAGCTCATTTGCGTTGGTAAGCGCTAACGAAGTATGCATGTGTATGTGTGTGTTTACACTTTCAGGTTTTTTGATTTTTTTCCTGATTATTTGTTTTTCGTTTCTTCTATTTTTCGTTTTTATTCTTGCCAATGTTTCGGCATACAAATGTACGAGTATCTGCCGCCGGCACACGAGCCGCCGATAAATCCAACGACAATAAAAATAATAACAACTATTCGCGATATGTTGCGACCACAATGCGATATACTAAATAATAATAATGATTATTCTTGCAATTAATTTCGATTAAAAATATACCCAACATTGTCACAATACATACATATCATACTTAGATACTTGTGTTCACAGTCTTAGAGAACTCGTTGATTGCTTTTGGCGCATTATGTTCTGTGATTCTATTTCTCAGGTAACACATTGAACTAAGAGAAATCTTCTAGACTGTGCGAATGTATGGGTAAACGTAAGTCTGTGATTAATTGAGCGTTGAAAATGCCGCAAGTTGCTCAATATTCAAAAATGTTGAAACAGAGACATTAAAGGGACAAAAATAAGCAAAAAAGAGGAGACAAAGTATCAACTTCATTATGTATTTCCCAAACAGAAAATATGAGTAAAATAAATTGAAATAAAAGAATAAAATAAGTTAAGTAAAATAAATAAATAAAAAAATTTAAAAATTAAACTACATTTATTTAAATAAAATTAAATTAGATTAATTAGAAATAGAAACTTAAATTTAATTTAAATGAAAATACATTATATTATTATATTAAAATATATGAATAAATAAATTATTTTAAGTAAATCTTAATTCAACTAAACTAATTGAAACTAGATTAAACTAAACTAAATAATATTTATTTAAATTAAATTAAATGAAACTAACAAAGACGCAATATGGATTTAAACCCATAAGATCGGTGTTAGGCGCCATTGAGAATGTCAGAAGAAGCGGGAAATAAGCTGAGCGAGGTTCCTACAAATCTAGTGTTTTTAGGCACCTTAGATATCCGATATGGAAATATATTATTCGGAGCTTTAGAAGTAAAATTTAATATTTCCAACTACCTATGGTTTATGATAAGGAGTAATCTCAAAAACAGAGTTCTTCTGTACCAGACCAAAGATGGCCTCCGAAGCCTAAAGATCAGTTGCAGCACAAGGAACGATACTCGGTTCTGATCAATGGAATGTCAGTTATAACAGATGTCGGAGGACACATGCCCAGTTGGTTATGCAGATGACATCTCAGCGATACTAACAGCCCGCGACACCGAAGATCAGCGAAGAAATTAGGTTATGATATGAGAACAGATGTAACTTGACTTGTGCGGTCTCAAACTAGCCACAGGAAAAACCGAGCTATTGCTACTAACAACTAAACCCAACCTATTGGAAATAAATATGCAAACTATATCCTACAACCTGAAAACATGCAAGGTCACAAATTATTTAGGCGTTAAATTGAACTCAAGGTTGACTTACTAGATACAAAAGCAACACTCCGCAGAACAGTTTTCTAAAATAACAACTCGTTTGAGCAGGCTGATATCCAACATCTGAGGACCCACACAAGAGAAAAGAAAACTACTGATATCAGCCGCTATTAATATCCTACTTTATGGATCAGAACTATAAAGCGA